CAGCAGTGCGTGGAGACGAGTCCGGCATCATTTGGGGATAATTTCTTCAAGCAGAATTTTTCTAAGGTGATTTCTAACGATTTGGTATAGTTAGTTTTTTGTTTCAGGTTATAAGGTGAAAACTCGACGATTTTGCCCCAGCGCGTTTGTGATTCAGTTTGGTGTTCGATTGGTTGCTGCAATTCCTGAAAGCTTTAGGGTGAATAGTGGTGGCCTTAAAGTGGTAAATTCACATCTCTCATAGACTCATATTGGTCCATTCTAGTATATTGGTTTACCCAAATTTAAATTTCAGCATTAGCGCGTCATCGTGTGGGGTGACAATAGAATTTAGGTTACCGTGTGGAGTAACCATTGCTTGTGCTAAAAATTTAGGAATTATTTGCCATATTTGAAGTGTTAGATTTAACTGCAAGTTGACAATTGCTTCTGTATTGCGTGCGAATTTGAACTTTTTGTTGACATACCTTTGTGTTGCATTGATTATTCCGTTAGAACTCCTAGACTTGACCCGTTCGAACATTCCATTGATCTAAGATCGAGAATCTTACGAAACTCTGGGAATCCAGAACGGTGTCTATTGTTGCCTTAGAATTACTTTGTGTGACCTATTTGTGCATTTTGGTTGTTCTGTTTTTCAAAATTTCTTCACATTTCAAAGTTAGAATTTTCAATGGGAAATGAAAATTTTCAATTTGACAACAAAAGATGAAGGGGATTTTGGTCCAACAAAAAGTTTCAAAAACCATAGATAGCATTTCCTGCAAATTTGACAGAAGCACAAAAAGAAGAATATGATGAACTTGCTTACACTTCAATTATTTTACACCCATCTAACATTGTTTTGAGAAAAGTTGGAAAATTTGATTGTACAAAAAAAATTTGGTAAAAGTTGAAGGACTTATATTTGCTTAAGTCTATTCCTAATCAGTTTGAAAATAGATCCTTCAAATGATCTTAATGACAATTTGGATATTTTCAACAAACTTGTTCAAGATATCGTTAATTGTGATGAAAATGTGTCTGATACGTATAAGGCCATTATTTTGTTGAATTCTATGCATGATTCATATAGAAGGTTAAGAATGCAATTAAATATGGTAGGGACACTTTAACACCCGAAATTGTCATAGATTCTCTTAGGAGTAGGGAGTAAGAGATTAATACTGAAAAATAGGATAAGAAAAGCGGTCAGTTGCATATGATGATGAGTAGAATGAAGTTTAAGTAGATGAATTTGGATAGTGCTCAAGACAATAGTGATTCGAGTAGTGACTCGAGTGATGAAGGTGGTAAGAAGAAGAGCAAGGGATGAAACAAGTCTAATGGTAGACAGTGTTACTGTTTTGGTAATGCCGAGCACTTTATTAAAGACTGTTCCAAGAAGAAAGATAAGCAGAAAGGTAAGATGAGAGGCGATGGCTATAGGGTCGAGTGATGACCCTAGCGAAGTTTATTGAGAGTAAACATATTTACTGCATGTGCATCCGTGTATAATCTTTTCTGCATGTGTGCGATTGCTTAATTCTATTGCATGGTTATATGTGCATTTCAGTGTGTTTGATATGTGCATTTGCACGAATTTGCGAGCAATTTAATTACTTGGTGTGATTGTTTGTATGCATAGTGGGTTAAGATACATTAGCAGTGTGTTGTATGTCTATTGGTGAGATGGAGTATAAATGTCTAGGGGTACATTGGTGGTTTGTACCTAGGATGTGGAGTGTGACATTTGGATCACGAGTTTAAATGTGATTAAATGTTAGAATCATTTATCTGTGAAGAGACCCTGATCAGGTGGAGTGAGGGAGATGCACTTCTATCACTTCTGTTAGGTGGAGACCCATTATCCACTTAGGTTAGGAGAAGTGATGTGGTGATAGAAGATTATCCCAATGACTTAGGATCTACAGAGGTCTACCGGTTATACATGAGTTGAGTGATTAGTTTAGTAAGTACGGTGGGCGATAAGGTGAGATATGTGTTCTCAAGATGTGAGCAACACGGAATGAGATAGGATAAGTGAAGTGAGATCTTTTCGTGGGGTCATTCATGCATTTGTTGCATATTTATTGGCCATGTGCTTATTAACTTAGTGTTCATCTGTTGTTTTGTGTGAACATGTCTTTTTGAAAAGATTTGTGTTATCCTCTATGATATTTTCATTGCATGTTTATTTGCTTTTGATTGATTACTGTGATTATCTGCTTTTACTTGAGTATTTGTTCGTGACCTTAGCCCTGGTGAGTACATGAAGCAGGCATGGTATGTGTTTCGGGTTCGAAACACAAGGTAAGGTCTGTGATCCCAATTTTATTGGTTACCTTGATTATGCAAATATAAACTTTGTGTTTTGGTTTCTTGCAGATTGATTTGGTATTAAAGTGGAGATTTGTTGAGTTTTGATACCCAATAAATCTTCGACAATGATATTAAATAGTTTATAATATATTTTATAGGTATCGGCCGATGAGTGAAATAATTATCAATGCAATCAATTTATATGCTCAATCTGAAAGCAACGTGGGCTACTAGTCGCAACTTAATTTGTTAATTTGCATTGGCCCAAATTCACTTATATGATGGCTTTCTTGTGTCTTGGCCCATTACCTTGTGTTTTGGCCCAATGGATGATATAACTTAACCTATATATACCCATTAATATCATAATGTTGGAAGCGTGTGTGCGCTTTGTGTTGTGAAGAGAAAATCATGGCTACTTCCCATCTTCTTCTTCTTCGTGCCTTTAGCATCTGTTGTTTCTCTTTGCCTTTGTGGCTTGCAAATCACCATCATAACCTTGTTTCTTTGTGGGTGAGAAATGAAGAAAGCAATTATAAGTGAATACAAGTTGTGGGTCGGAATTTTAATTGATTGTTTGATATCGATTGGTAAGTTGAAACTGAGCCGGGATTCCACAAACTGAAGGTCCATTCCGCGACACTTACAAAATACAATTTCCTTATTTCCCTTCATTTTTAAAGGAGCTATCATCCTATGAGTAACAGCCAACATTTTTGGCGGACCAAGTATGGAACAGATCGTCCATCCATTCCTATTCAATATGTTGCAATGTTCTCAAGAGCCTTGACTTCACGAAAGACTCTCGGACCAAGAGTGTAATTAGAAGGCCAAGCTATTTCAAGATTTCACACAACCAAAGAGAAGAAAGAACACCAAGGGATGTCACATACAAAATAAATTAGCGAAATCATCGAAGGTCTACATTCAGAATTTCTTCATTGGCATCTAAGTTACTAGTAGCTTTTCCCAAAGTGCTTGAGCATATAACTTGCAAATAATGACTGAATTCAACATAGCAACAGAATGTAGTTGATCGAGTACATTTAAAGCAGAACAGTAAGCATTGATACCCGATAAACTACCTCATACTGATGGCTGATGTTATTGTATAAGCAATCCCATAACCGAAATAGCTTTCTTGAAGAAACGATCCTGCCACCCACATGCTCTTCTTTCCTGAAATTTACATAGTTCTTATAATGATTTTTTTAGAATCTCTAGAAATACTATTTCCACATCAAACTACATATCACTAAACAGTCTCCTCAAATTTTATCAGTTCTGAATATAATACCATATAAAATGAGCGTGTCAAAGGCTATGTAATGGGGTTGTTTGTTATATCTTAGAAACTCTCTCCTATTGGTCCTTAACTCAAAGATGGGCCACCAGTTTACCCTCCCCAAACGGAGGCTGGAACCCAGACTCATTTACTTGAAAAGGTTTCGCTTGGACCACTTGAGCTAGGCATTGGCTATCGGTGCAATTAATCCTTCCCAACTTTAGAAACGAAAACAAACAAATATCAAATTCTCAGGCAGAACTATTAAATGCAATATGACGGTGACCTAACAAACATTTACCTAAATAGGACCTCACAGCTTCAGCATAAGACCTATTTCTGATGTGCCCAACTTCAGGATCAGGATATCTGTAACAATTACACAGCAAATTTGATGAGATTATAGTGATTATTCCAAACATCACCATAGATATTGGGCCTGCAATCCACCCCAGCTGAGCTACACTCCATGCCAGTGACAACACTCCAGACCCGATAACTCCAGTTATTATATGGGCAATTGCTGTCCACACAGTTCCTTCACATCCAAACCAGAAGAAAAACACAACCAAAAATTCAGTGTCTCTAGAAAATCATTTTATTCATAAAGTGAAAGTGAAACAGAAAAAAGCTTCAATTGAAATTCAAGAAAACAAAATCATTCTTTGAAGACCAAAAAGTTACCAAAAAATAAATCTTTTTTCCCATCTATTATAGAAGAAACTGAATATAATGTTAAGATGGTTGACTACTGTAATCAAAATATTGAAGAAAACCTGTTCTTTTTATGGAGTTATTATGAGAATTTGCTGATGAAGAGACAGAATCTGTGAGCAGAGGAGAGGTGTGTCCATCTCTTTCTTCAACTTCAACCATTTTTTTCAGGTGGTTATTGGATTTGAGTGTAGCAAAGCAAGTTCAGAATGCCACTACCGACCAGAAAATATTGTGTTTGCTCCAATTATTAAGCTGTCAAGCTGGTAATGGTTTTGTGAATTAATCTAGATGTAGAACTAGTTTGATAATTAGCGAGTTTTCAAGATTCAGTGCCGTTTATTTAAAAAATAATTCTTAAAATTGATGGATGTATTGTTTGTCAAATGCTTAAGTAGTAAAGAAAATGATGCTAGTTGTACAATTGAAATGACAACCAGGGATCCGCTTTTTTTTGAATTGTTTAAACATGCGGACCCCACATACATGTGAGAGATTATCAACCTCGATTGTACAAATAACATTTTCCTAAAGAAAATTTTAAAGAAGGTTAATACATGTAGCAAGATTGTCGATTTTGTATTGCGCTGCATTTCTTACAAATAACTTTGAGATAAAATTATAGCCACATATCTTTAATATTTAGCATTTATTTGGCACGATGTATTAAAAAATTAATTTTTTTAAATTCATTTTCAAGTACGTCCTTCTTGTAAAAAAAATTCATACGTCAATTTATAATTTTTACTTACCAATCAATCGCACATTTTAAAAAAATATTATTTTTCGCTTTAAATAATCTCTCTGAGTATAAATTTGAAGTGGGTGGGTCCCCATTTTACAGCTAGTAGGGGGCAATGGTACGTATATAAAGGTGAATTCCAAGATTATCAACCTTTCATTTGTTGAAGTCATGTCCTCACCCTTTCATTTGAAAAGCACAATAACCAACTCAACGACAAATCTTTATTTACGTTAAATTTTCACACACATATGATGTCTGACTGAATATGTAAAATAGTCGAAGAAAGATTTTCTTTATTCCAAATTGAAAGTATGTATCCTAGATTTCATTAATTAAAAGTTGAAAATCTACTTGCTATATTGTGCACAGATGGGAACCTCGATTCTCATTTTTCATAGTTTACGTCCCTATTTGACCTCCATTTCTTAAAAAGTTCATTTTTCTTAAATTTGGTTTCCACTACATATTTCATGAAATTCATAATTTTATCAATTTCTCAATCATATATTTTTCTAACTTTTATCAAAATCTATTAAAAATTTTAAAAAATGATGAGCCGTATTCTTGACGGCCCCCACCTGCCCTATGACTCGGTGAAGGAGGTAAATCGCAGGTTATGCTTCCAATGGTATATGGGGGAAGATTGTTTGTACACTTGCATTTACCCAATTGTCAAATCCATATTTCAGTATTTGAACCCTTGACGCGGCAGGCTCAAACAACGTTGAAGTTTTTCCACCTTCCTTTTTTACCATTTGGAGATGTGCCCTGGGAATTACTAAAAAAATGACAAATTCATCATATCAACATTTAAATTCAAATTTTCTTCTCTTATGTGGGCTCCAATAACGACTATATTTTTTTATTCTCATTATACAATAATTTGACTCAAACATGGTCATATAAAAGAAAGAGTTGAAGACTCACTTGCATAAATTCTAATAAGTTAGAGATCTTTGCTGCAATTTTTCCAACAGCCACAATCCATTGAAGCGAGAGGTCACGAGATCTATTGATATAAGTCAAAGCGAAAGGACAACACGGAAAACTTCTTCTAATTTTGGCCATTGAACTTTCAACTTGATTAAAAAAATAATTAAAAAATTGATAAAATAATGTTTACACGAAAACATTAAAAATATAGGTATTTTTTATTCTCGATATGTTTTAAATAATAAAAACGCTTTAAAAATTCTAGAATACGTTTCAAAAACTTTAAAAATAGTTTTACATTTAATTTTTTAATAAAATTCAGGAAACTTGAAGAAACTTCACGAAATTCTTCGAAAAATTTTTAACTAACGCGTTTGATAACTTGAATAAAGTATTGTACATTAACTTTAATTTCGAACTCAAAATTTTATATAATTTCAAACTATAATTTTTTAATTGATCTTGGCTATATTACGATTTATTTAGTATAAATTCTAACCCTTAGAAAAAATGACAGCAATTTATCATTGAGAAATATAATAAATTTATGAGTATTGAAATATTTATAATTTCATAAATCTTCAAATAACAAAGAAAAAAAACTTTTAGAAAACTTTGAATGAATTATATGGTAATGTGCATAGCACGTTGGTTTTGACTAATTACTTGCGTCCAAGAAAATGAAAGCTAAGTGTAGAAAAAAATTTATAGTTCATGGAATCAATCATTCAAGTCGAAGAAGAAAGGTCTATACAAAATGTTGACATAATTTTGGTCATTGAACTTTCTTTTTTGACAAAAATTGCCTATATTTATTTTAGCAGACCCAAATTGACAAATTAGTGAAGTTGGATAAATTACTGCAAAGAATTTATTGGCTAATGGATCTATAAGATAGATAAGAAAAAACTTCTACGACGCTAGCGTTTCTGCTTCACATATATTTCAAACGTCGAAATTTTAAAAATTGTTTCGAAAACTTTGAACAAGGTTCGAATTATAACTTTAACACAACAATTTCAAAGAGTTTCATGTCTCTTTTTTCAAATATAATTTTTCTCAGTGTCACGTTGTGTTATGACCTATCTCGAGATGAGTATGTTAGGTTACGAATGAAGAAAATTTTGTCGAATGAGATGAATCAAGTTGGATATTCCATTTTCTTTATATATATAACAATCACAATATTATGGCGAAACACCTTATTCATCCTAATCCAATCTCCCCTAATAGAACGGTATGCAAAACTGAACATTTGTGTCAAGTCTGGACTCGATGCTGGTAACCACGTTTCATTTGTAACTTATTGCACCATGCAACCAACAAAACGTCAAAAACCATCCAAATATGTAACGCCGCATACTTATTTCTCGTGATTATTATGTTTATCTAGAATATTTTCATTAATATGATATTTATTTTATAATTAATGGCATTATCATCATCGTGACTAACTGTGTTTTTAGAGTGAAATGTACCTTGACGCCCTGGATGAATCACATGTCCATTAATTCAATTATAATGTTTATATTTTGTTTAAAACATATTAAATTACATTATGTACTTCGGCGAAACCGATTGCAAGTAATGAAGGTATATGCAAAGGACATGATCCATGTTGTGAAAGTCAGGTATCTGAGAGAATCTCCAAGAGACTCCCTATTTTTAAAGAGTATATTCTGTTATTTGGAGAATGTCTATAAATTTATAGAGTTAAAATTTGAAATACTCTACAAATCTCTTTATATTTAACACTTAATTTTATTACTCTAAAAACAGATTTATTATTTTTCTTTATTTTTTATTTTAATAAACTTTTATTTTAATTATTTTTTTCCCTATATTGAAAATTGAAACACTTTAAATGCATTTAATTATAGAAAGTGAGTTTGGCTCTTCAAAATAGAGCGTGAGTTTGGCTCTAAATTAAAATGTTAATTTAATAAATCTTTTGGAGTATGATTTTAAATGTTGACTATTTAACATAGAGATCATTTTGTGTTTAAAGAGTCTCTTCGAGATGCTCTGAAAAAATAGTACTTGAACAACTCCAAATGGCAACATAACAAACTATCGTCGTATTTTCATTGAGCACTGTGTCCTTCCTTGAGGTAACAAGTTGATTTCAGACTTGCCCTTAACCAACAAGCATAACACCACAATCGCACTTATAACAAGAACCAACAGCCCAATTAGTTGCTATCTGCTGCTAGCAAATAACCAAACGTGACAAACAAATTAACAAATGTGGATATCTATAGGTATTGAGAACATAGGTGGGCAAGCAATGGAATATTATTTCTTCGTAAAATCAAGATATTCAAGAAACCTGCTCTTATTGTGGCCTGTGGGGTTACTATGAGACTAATCTGCAGATGAAGATGCAGAATCTGTGAGCAGAGAGCAAAGCAAGTTCACAGTGCCACTCACCAATAGGAAATATCATATTTGTGTTTGCATTAACTATTAATCTACCAAACTGAGAATTGACATCATAATATTCTATTGGGATGGCTTGTTTGGCTGTGCTACCTTACTTATTTTCAATCAATGTTATTTTAAGTAGTTTTTTTTTTCAATAAAATAATTGTTTATAAGTAGCGCCTGGAGGAGAAGTTGTGTGACCTGCATAACCAAATGTTAACACTAACGAAAAAGACCAGTAAACTCTGTTAGTAAAGACTTTTTGAGGGTTCATCTCTCAACCAAGACATCCGAGGAACGAACCCTCAACCAGGTTCATGTACAAGGAATGTTGATCGAGGGATCCGGACTTTAGATCGAGGCAGTAATGGAATTTTTGGAGGCATTTCAGACGAGGGCCGAGATGAATTATACATGTTGTCATATTATTGACATCATAAGACTATTTGTTTGGTTTTAATTATTTATTGTATCCATGAAAATTGACGAGTAAATGTAATGAATGCTCATCGAACTTTAATGTATATTATTATTTGCTCACTGAATAATAAAATATAGCTCGTTGATCACCCATATATCCAATATCTCACTTATTCATCACTTGTCTTATCTTCGTTATCCTCAACTAACGGAATGTGTCACATTGCAGACAGAAATCCGACATGACACATAAAAGCAGTGAAATCTGTTGAGATTAAAGTTTCAAGTTCCTAAGATTTAAAGTTTCATAAAATTTTAACATGTGGTGTTAGAGTCAATTCTATGTTAAATCATTGA